GGAAAAAGATGATGAAACTGTCTCCTTCTATAAAGATTTATAGCCTTGGGAACCCTGTTGGGGTGGTTGTACTCTCACCGGTAGGGTCACTTTGAGTCAGAATCGACTCAGTGACACTGGGTTGGGTATACTAAATACTCTGAGATTGTATTTAGACTTTCTGATTAGTCATCAGAGCGATGTTAAATAAAACCCAGCCTCAAAGAAATACACAATTAAACAAAGGTAAAATATTGTGCCCAAGCTTTTAATACTCCATAGCCTCCTTTCTAGGAACCCATGTCAGGCAGTATATTTTTTCAGGAAAACCCATATAACTTACATGCTCACATTAAGGCTAAGATCCTCAAAGAAGTCAATGAGAAAGGAGCAGAATCTGTGTTATGTATTAAATTTTAAAAATTACTTTATAGAATCCATATAATATCCTTAGGCTTTTACAGATCAACTGTTTAACCTTTATATCCACTCTGAAAATAAGGCTAGCCAACAAGGCAAATCATTATTCTAAGTTCATGTTATTTCTGCCAGTTTTATGGACACACATAACACAAAACACACACACCTGGATGGAAAAATCCAAACAGATTCATGAACAGTTCAAGGAAAATGTTGGTCTTCTGATAACAAGTCCTAGTTTGATGACTATCACCATGTTGGAGAAAAGATTCAAAGTAAATCAAGTGGCCAGTTTTTTATATCTATCTAATTAGCAAATTTGTTTGAAACTTAATACAATTTGAAAGGAGTCTCTTGACAAACGAGTAATAAAATAATGACTGACGAATTTTAGGCATGCTTGGGACGGGTGTGTGCTCCAGATTAACCAACAAATGAAAACTGTGCATTGTGAGAAACAGGAGTAATCATTCCACCTACTCCCTGCAACCTCTGCCAACTGTGATGCTTCCTCTGGAAGACTTTCTGGCCGTTGTGGGTACAGAGGATAATGCAGACCTTATTCATTCTAAGTGAATATGGCAAAAGGTTAGGGTTTATCAGATACTTGATTTCTAGAAGCAGAGTGGTATATATATTTTTTTAAAAAAAGATTTTATTTGCAAATTGGGCAAACAAAATTTTACAAAATTGGTTAACAAAATTTTGCCCGAAGTTTACTCTGAATGGATTATTGAACACTATTATGATTTGCAAAGAAATTTGTCTGTCATTTCTTTTAACAGGTACTTACATATGTAAGTGTGGGAAAATACTTTCCCCGTGAAACCATTTAGAGCTCTGGGTCAGTTGGGCATTCTGTACTTTTTCTTTACCTGTTTTTCTTTTGTTCCGTTTTGTTTTATTTTCAAAGTTGGTTTTTTTTTTCTTCCAAAACAAAATAATCAGTAACAAAAAAATATAATAATTCGTTGGAAATTTTTTTTATTATTATTATTTTTTTATTAGGATTTGGGTGAAGATTTACAGAGTAAATTCACTTTTCATACAGCAGTTCACATATACTTTGTCTCATGTCATTGACCAAAGGAAATTTGTTTTTTAATGAAGTATATTATCTGAAAGGTGCTCTGGTGGTGCAGTGCCTAAGGCATTGGACTGCTAACCAGAAGGCTAGTGGTTCAGAACTACCAGCCACTTAAGTCTGGGCAATCTACTTCTGTAAAGATTCACTGCCTTGGAAACCCAATGGAGGTCGCTATGAGTCGGCATCGACTCGATGGCAGTGGGTTTGGTTTGGTTTTAGTTTATATTATCTGAAACATATTTGTTGTGTGTCAAGAACATTCCAAGATTTTATCGTTGACAAAGATTTTTCTACCTATCTGTTGAAGGTCCACAGCAAGAAAAAGCACATGAAATCAGTTCATTTTTATCTTTTTTTTTTTTTTTTTAAGTTTTCTTACCTAGGCAAATGGCTTACAAAGCTAGCTGCAGTATATTTGTAGTCCAACCATTGACTGAAAAATAGTTCTGTATGTTTGTTCTCCTCCTAGTTTATGTTCCTCTCCATCACAAGACTGTACGAGTATGCATCGTTTAATGTCCATTCGGGCAACATCTGACTGCATATACATCCGTGGGCAGGGGCACCCAAATGTCTGAGTGCCAAGATATCAGAGCATCCTCTTGATATTGGAACCCCACATCTACCAAGGGCCCAGAACACACCTAGTCTGTGGCAATGGAGGCCCAAGCCCAAACTCCCAACCTCTGTTTCCCTCAACTCCCATGATTCAGCTGGTCTAGTCCCTATGTTTTGCCTGGTGTGGCTCCGTACGATACTGAAGGAAAGGTATCTGACCCGGGGGCCGTAGGCCTACACCTCCCCTCCCCAGTTCTACCTGGCTTTCTCTGCAGCTGGCTTAGCAGAGGGGCCCAACCAAGTGCTCATCTGAGGCATCCTTAGCAGGAGCTGCCCAGGACATGTGCTACACAGCAGCCCCTGGGCCAGTGCACCCTCTCGACACAGGTGTTCACACAACAGCCGAATCACATAACCATAACGTCCTATTTCACGGAACGCTCACAAAAAGTATAGTGGACATTAAGCGGCACATATCTGTAAATCTTTGAACTTAATCAGCACTTAATAGCATATGGAGGACTTCAGCCACTCACTGTGGACTGAGATGAGTCCTTAGCCACATGCACAGGATCATTCTGAATGTAATCTTTTTCAGGGAATGGCATTTAGGCTATTTCCTAAGCTGACTATAAAAAGCCACTGAATTGTGATGCAAGTTATTTTCTACCCATGTGTATGTACCTTAAGTTAATGGATCCTTGTTTCTGTCTGCTGCCTGAATGTAACTTGAGAGATGAGGCCGTGGGCTGGTATTATTGTTTACTGAACATACATATTAAGAGTAGCAGCTGTAATTTCAATCTTTATCTTGTCCATTACTAAAATAGCTTTGTTGTTGTTATGTGCCTTGGAATCAGAACGGACTCATAGCGACCCCTCCTTGGGTTTCCAAGGCAGTATCACAAGAGAAGTAGATTGCCCCATCTTCCTTCCGAAGAGTGGCTGATGGGTTTGAACCGCCAGCCTTCTGGTTAGCAGTCAAGTGCTTTAGACACTATGCTACCAGAGCTCTTTAGTGATAAAGAAAACTCTCCTGCATGAGTGCTTTGTATTAGCTATCTGCAGCATAAGCCATTGTTTGTAGAAATAGAAGTAACAAGTTTTTATGAATATATAATAAAAGATTAAGATATGGCAAATAATTGTCTATATAACACTGAATACCTAGATTTTGGATTAAGTTCACTTTTTAGATTTATTCAAATTATGTGGTATTTGTTCTTGACAGTTTTGGTTAGTATATTGCTTTAAAAACTTCAACCTCTGCTCTATTTTCAACAGTTTTCCTAGTCTCTCATACAAAACTGCATAGAGACCTTTTTCCCCACTCCACCACCCAAAACTCCTCAAAGCATGTAACATGTTGTTGTTGTTGTTGTTGTTGTTATGTCTGAGGACTCATAGCGACCCTTCCTTGGGTTTCTGAGGAGACAGTATCACTAGGGAAGTAGATTGCCCTATCTTCCTTCTAGGGGAGGAGTGGCATTAGCACCTTGAAAATTAATTGCCAAGGTAGCCTGAAGATAATTCTTTGAAAGTATAATGGCATCACCTAAAGTGTAACTCCTAATGGGCTTCTTAACATGGCAAATTGTTTATCTTCTCAGACTAATTTGAAGGTTGTCTGCAATGATTGTTGCCAGTCCCTTCCTTGTTTCCCCCCCAGCAAAAAAAAAAAAAAAAGAACAAACCACTAGAACTTTTCTAACATTTGGTCTTGTTTAATCCTCATACTGATTTTAAGTTCTTTGTAGGCCTGGATTATTTCTTGCAGTTTTATATTTTACCATAGCATCTACGGCAGTATTGGACACAAAATAGGGACTCCATTAAGTGATTGGTGGTTAATAGATAATTGGATCAAGGAAATCTGACAAATAGACTAGCAGAAAGCTTCTCTTCCTGTACTCAGCTTTTTATAACAGAAAGCAGCTATCTAGTTCTTCTAAAAAGTGGGAGCATTGGGCACTGTTGCAGATATGTATTGGGAAGAGATTGGACTCATTTGCCTTTTATCCCTAGTGTGTCAGATGAGAAAATAAAGGGTAGAGAAAATAGGTATGTTTGACTTTCTGAGTTGCCCCAAGTTACCATTAAAAAAAAAAAAAAAAAAAAGCCTGCAAGCTTGCCTCAAACTGGTAGCTACAGTTGCCAAACCGGTTTCACAGCACTGCCTCGGTGTATTCTGGGTGAGAGGGAGCTCCTGGGACATAAACTTACCGGAGATCACTATCCCATTCATCTCAGAACAAGTTGTTTAGTAATGTACTGTAGTTTCTGTGCAAATCATCTACCATAAACCATGAAGTGATTCACAGTTCATAGTTCTTCTTTGTTCCTTTGTTAATCACTGACTTTTGACTAGTGGGAGGTGCCTACCCAATTTGCTAATGCATTCTTTTTGGATAAGGATGACGCACAGATTGTCCTAATAAGGACTTAGATTGAGAAAGGACCGCCCCCTTTGAGAAGATGGGACAAGTCAGAGAGAGGGCGGGCAGTTTCTTTTTTAACTAGGGATGACACAAGCCTAAGTCATTTCCTTATTAATCGGTTCAAACCAGTTCTTACAGGAACTGGTGGTGATAAATGTGGGACTTCTCAGAAGTCATTCATTTTATTCTTTGTGCCACTCCAGGGTACAGCATCAGCTCGCCTCCCCTCTCACTGAGCACGAAGTCTTCTGCTAGATGGGGCTCCTGATTTACAGCTCCTAGCTTCCCCCCAACCATGTTTTCTCCTTTAAAGGGACGTTGGAAGAAAGAATTTGTATGTGCTTTTTAGAAAGAGTTGACAGAATGTTCCCGGCTCTGCTGGTTGTTGTATTTTATTCCTTCTCTTATCCAATCCCTGCTTTTTGAGTCCAGGCGGTAAGTGGATTTTTTCTAATGTTCTTTCTGCTTTCCTTCCCAAATGTTATCTTCTTCCTTGGGCTCCTCCACCCTGTCTCCAGTGCTGTCCCTGGCATAGGTCCCTCTCTGCAGAAGCCATTCCAGGAATACCTGGAAGCTCAGCGGCAAAAACTTCACCACAAAAGTGAAACGGGCACCGTACAGGTGAGACCTTGTTCCGTTTTCTTCTTCTCTCTGGGCAGTTTCAGACTGAAATCACTTTCACTCACATTTGTTGGCTGGTAAGAGTGTTTTGTTGGCTAGTCTTTCTGATGGGAGTCTTAGCCTTAAGACAGAAACTGTATGTTCTATTTGGGGCATCTTGTCCCAAAAACATGCGTAGGGTTAATGGAAAATAATGAGTTTGTTAAGTAGAATCAGCTACTGCTTTGACCTTAAATGATTTCTTCAGCAGGTGTGAAATTAGCTTTCAGCCTTTGCCACTCAAATAGATTTTAAAAGTTCAAATTCACTGCATAACAAAGTATTGAACTTACTGAAATCATGTGAATATCTCCCTTCATTTTTTTTTTCCCCCTGTGGGAAAGTGGGGAAAAACATCATTTTTTTTATACACCCAAGGCGTTTAACATGGCTGAGCTTAAAAACCTGAAACAAGACCCTAGCCCTGCCTTTTCTGTAAACTGTTCTATGGCAGGAAAATATCTAGAAGAGGATGAGTAAGCAATAATCTGAAATAGGAAACTAGAAGGAAGCACAGTTGTGTGTTTTGGTTTTTTTTTTTTTTTTTTTCCCCCAAATGGCCTTAAACTCTTCATGTGGGCCTTTGCTGCCCTCAATTGACCAAGCAGGACTTCAGAAATAGATACATTTTTTAAGCTGCTCCTGATACCAGAAGGGGGGGGGGGGCGGGACGAAGACTCTGAACACTACTCTGCAACAATCTGCTTAAGTGGAGCTACTTACTGGCTTTAGAAACCCAAGGCTTTAATCAACGGCTTTATTCTTCTGTCACAGTAAAAGTTGAGAGATGACTGACCTGGTACTCATTCCCTTCCAAACTATATGAATCAACAATGACTTTACATCTAGCAAAGTATATCTTTATAGCTGGATGTAAAAATGCCTGAATGTGACCTCAGGTAAATTTCAGGGCAGGCTGGAGACTCATCCTTATGGATTGTCTAGACCTTTTAAGTTGTTCTTTTAAATTCCAAGGTCTGTTTATTTTCTTTAACACATTGTAGATGATCCCTTTTTTACTCTGGACTAATGAAGCCTTTCTTCTTGGATTGTTCTGCATTTATTCCTGCAGGGAGAAAATTGGTTGTCCTGGATGTTTGAGAAGTTGGTCGTTGTCATGGTGTGTTACTTCATCCTGTCCATCATTAACTCCATGGCACAAAGTTATGCCAAACGAATCCAACAGCGGTTGAACTCAGAGGAAAAAACTAAATAAGTGGAGAAAGTTTTTAACTGCAGAAATTAGAATGGCTGAGTCCTGCCTTAAATGAGGAGGACTCCAAACCAGGGAGGAAAATTCCCTTTTCCAACCTGTATCAGTTTTTAAATATTTCTTCCTGAAACCAGTTTAGTCCATATTTTGCACTGACTTACTTTTCCTTTGTGTGTTAAGGTAAGGTATCCACCCTAAACTCAATCCAAATTGTATTTTATAAGGGTGGAATGTGATGTTCGGCAGCAAACTTACCAGAAACTGGCCTTCAATTTGTTACTTTCAGAAGGCCCACAAATACAATTTAAGAATTCCCACTACCACCCCCCCAAAAAAAAAATTCCTAAGTGTGTCAAGCTTTTTAGCTTGTCCAAATGATGGCTGTTTTCTAATTCATCAAAATGTATATAAATTACACTAGATTGGATAACAGTCTTGCATGTCTATCATGGTAAAATTTAATATGCCATCCTGCCCAAACCCTTCCTTGATCCCACCCTCAAGGCCATTTTATGATGCATTGCACACCCTCTGGGAAAACTGATCTTTAAATTTTGAGACAGTATAAGGAAAATCTGGTTGGTGTCTCACAAATGAGCTGACGCCATTTTTTATTCTGTATATTTAGAATGAAGTCAAGAAAAAACTTTATAAAGACATCTTTGATCATTCCAAAATGTGTCCGTTTTCTTGAGCGTTTTGATTTTTTACTTCCTTTTAGCTTCTACCAACTGAATGGCAGCCTTGCCAAATCCACCTACAACCAGGATTTCTTAATCCTTTATTTGCATATAAGAGCCAGCACCATGGCATCTTTTGTAATGCTGGAATTAGGCAGCTATACACGCTGCTGTGGTGACCTATGGGATTGGCCTAGGATGGGGATTTCTTTGTTTCTGAAAACCAGAGAGGTGATAAAAATACAAATCAAATGGCACTGGAGAGAAAATTTTTTTTTTTCTTTTAATTACTACACTTTCTCGTAGCTGAGAGATTCATTCTCATAACAAAATTAAATTGGCTCGGTGTGTGCTTTAACAGGCATAGAAATTTACTTTTGTATGTTAACTCAATTTTCCTGCCTTTCTGTAAGTGTTTTGTGTTATGTGGGGTCCCCCCTTCCATTGAGCTGTTACTGGTTGACCCTGGTCATTTTTATTTGCTTTGTAGGAAAATAAACAATAATTTCACTTTTTTCCTTTAGGAAAATTGACAACCTACAGTGTATTGAGAATAGAATTGAGTCTAATCTCAAAAGGGCAGAAATGCCTGATTTGTTTTATGAAACCCTACTTGAATGTCTGCTTGTTTTGCCTACCGTCGTGACATCTGCATGGCTGTATCATCTTGTCGGGTAGCTTATCAGACTGATGTTGACTGTTGAATCTCATGGCAACAGCAGTCGATGGGCTGTCTGACATTTTGGTATCTTTCATCTGACCATCCATATCAAATGTTGTTCCCATTTCTCCAACCTTACCCGGCATCATGGCTTAAGATAAAAAGCTCTTATGTCCTAGCAGCATGTAGAGAGGAGGAAAATGGGGATAGTCTCCATGGCTCCAACTAAATAAATAACAGGTAAACCTGCCTTTTGTGAAAGGTCAAGTAACCTGCCTTGTGGGTTTTGAAAAGGTTAATGCTTTCTTAACATCATTTTTTGCCCCCAGGGACTTTTTAACAATGACTATTACTTGACCTGACTTCAAAAGCAGTATCCAAGAGTGCTCTTTTGTAAATAGGTCCACATTAACAAAAATGATTTTTAGCTTCCTTAGGGTTCTCTCTTTGGCGTAAATTTCTAAATCAGCTTCTAGTTGTCATGTCTCATCTCCTTCACCTGCATTTTGGTGTTTGTCTAAAGAAAGGAAAGAGGAAAGCAAATATGAATTGTACTGTTTTCACTATATCTTAGCAATTTATTAGTAAATTTATTTTCATGATAGGGTATTAAAAACAGAAAAACTTGGTTTCCTAGTCTGAATGTCTCTAAGTATTTGCATTTGACTTAACGATGACCATTTTATTCACTACCTTTCTAACAAATTTGCTTTAAAAAACATGAACAGCTCTCCTCCTTTCCTTCATTAAGCATTCAGGTAAATTCCACCTGGAGCAGTGTGATATCCTTCTGTTCTGGGTTTGTTTTTTTGTTATTGTTTTTGTTTTGTTATATGATGCCACAGATAATACCTAGTTAATTCCAGCTGATGGGAGACCAGGGAATTTGCAAATGGATGGTTTGATGCTTCTGCAAATAAAAAAAAGGGCCTGAGAATTCTCCTGATTTCTTCTCTCCTTTGTATAAGTTTCATTTTGGTGCCTTGAATGTCTGCCATATTTTGTCATGTCCAGCTCTGTGACCATCAAGCAGTACAGTACATCAGTCGTTTATACAGCTGTTTTAAGCACGAAAAAGCATCTCCTTTAAGGCAGTTAACGTAACATGAAAATGCAGCATCCAGTTTACCCACCATTTTTGCATTCTTTTTATAAATAATTTTGAGGGATGAAGCTGGTCTGGAAGAAAGGGAGACTACATTTGGGTAATAGCCACCTGTCCCCATTCTCCAAGGTGCCAGAAACTGACAAGGCAGCTAGGTGTCTGAGAATAGAATGCTAGTCACTTAAATGTAATGGAGGCTCCCACAAGTGAAGCCTGTGCTTCGCATGCTCTGGTTTTCAAAAGACAGCATGAGGTGTTTATAGTTTCACTCACCCGTTCAATTCAGCACCAACTCATTGAGCACAAACAGTTCAGTAAGCTAAATAAAATCCTGATTGCCCTTCTGTACTCTAGCATGGAGTCCCTGGGTAGTGCAAAGGGTTAACATGCTCTGGGTGACAGTTGGAGTCTGCCCAGGCATATCTTGGAAAAAATTAGCCGTTGCAGTCTGTATGAAGCACAATTGTACCCTGACACGAATGGGCTCACCATGAGTCAAGTCAATGACAACTGGTTTTCACTTGGGTGAATTATATTTAGACAGACCCAAATGTAAGGAGCTCATAGAGTTCCCCAACCTTAGAGTGTCAACTTTTTCCCATATTTTGAAACTCATTTGCCTCCAGGTACAATAAATAGCCCTTGTTGATGGTTTAGATTTCGACCATTTACATGTTATATGTGACCTTGAGAAATGATTCATCTATAAAAATAGAGCTAGGTGAACATGTTTAATCTTAAGGATTAAATCAGGCAATATATAATACAATATTACCATTTTTTTAATTCATCAAAGAGAGCATCTAATGTAACACATGCCAAATGTCACAGCGTTGTGTTTAATCCTTAAACATTTTCATGCTCTCAGCATATGTGTACATACTCTGGCGAAGATACACTCCATCAGACTTGCAGAAAAGAACATTGTACTAAAGTGAAAAAGAACATTGTACTAAAGAAATTAAAACCACAACAATAAAAAAAAAAAAGTAATGAAAACAGAAATTAATGAGTTAATGACTTGGTTAACAAGACCAAAAGCTTTTTTTAAAAAAATAAGCTTCCAGCTAGTGTATTCAAGACAAGAACAAATACATAAAATAATTGAAAGTTGATCTCTAAACTTCCCACCTTAAAAGTTGGCACTTTCTAATTTATTCCCATTATGAAGAGTGCTGTTCTAAAAGAAGCATATTGTTATTAGGTGCCATAGAGTCACCTCTGACACACAGCGACCCTATATTCAACAGAACAAAACACTGCCTGGTTATGTACCATCCTCACAATCCATGCTATACTTTAGCCCATTGTTGCAGTCACTGTGACAATCGGTCTCACTGAGGATCTTCCCCTTCGCTGACCCTTTGTTATGTGCCAACGAGTGACCCCTCCTTGGGTTTCCGAGACAGTATCACTATGGAAATAGACTGCCCAACCTTCCTTCCGAGGAGTGGCTGGTGAGTTTGAACCTCCAGCCTTCTGGTTAGCAGTCAAATGCCTTAGGCACTATGCTGTCGAAGCACCTGACCCTTCACTTTACCAAGCATGATATCCTTCTCCAGGTAGTGGTCCCTTCCAACAACGTGACCAAAGAAAATATTAGCTTTTAATCCTTGTTAGGAAAGCTCATCTACAATATCCAGTAAAATTTGCTGGGTAAACGCTTCATTAGTTGGCATGTGAGATCTTCCTGAGCATACCTGAAAGTCCCATTCCTATTAGAAAATAAACAGCAAAGCAGAGGTTCATTTTGGTTTTTATGTGCTCACAAAAAATTAACATACTCAGCAGGAGGAGTTTAATAGTTTTGAAAGCTAAGTAATATTTCATCTCTTGACTCGCATTGATCAAAGCTTCGCTGGTATTTACAAAACATGGTAGATGAGATGCCACACAAAACTCTCACCTCTGAAAGTTTTTTTGTCCCTTTATTCTCGAAGATGAGAAACCACACAATGAACTTTAAACTCTAGAAGTAACAGGTCATTTGTGTCTGCTAGACTGGAGTTTGAGTTCTTGTCCCTCCCTCCCCACCAGAGCCAAGTTCACCTGAGGTAATGCGTTTGCCTTGGGGGTGAGCCCTTCAATCACAGCAAATAACCTCCACATATTTGCATATTTAACCAGTACTCTTAAAAGGGATTATACAAAAACCTGTTCTGGACAGCTGCTTACTCACTGCCTTTAGAATTGCTTGGCAGTAGGATAACCAGGTGCCAAGTGTTTGCTCATTCTCTTTGACCCACTAGCAGTTTGTTCTGTGGGTGTTGATACTACTAAATTAAAAAGGGAAAGAAAGGTTTTAGATGGCCCCCACTCTCCACCCAAACACCCTGGAATCGTTTGCGTTATGGAATTCTAATTCTGTAGTCAGGAGACTGGCCCAGAGTGAGTCAGTTGCAAGTGACTGGCTGACTCTATGGGAACAGATATGAAATGCAGCTTAGAGGGTTTGTCAGCCAAACCCACAAATGTGTGGCTTTTTCAAACATTAAACATCTGCTCTTTTTAATTTAAAATAAACTCTAAAAAAGCACAGAGTTGCTTGGCTCCTTGTTTCTTCGTGTCAGCAGCAGTTGCTGCTCTAACTTAGCCTACAAGCAAATTTAGGAAATTTGAAATGTTTGAGACACACTTTGTTGTTGTTGTTGTTTGCCGTCGAGTCGGCCCCGACTCATAGCGACCCCTCCTTGGGTTTCCGAGGCAGTATCACTACGGAAGTAGGATTGCCCAACCTTCCTTCCGAGGAGTGGCTGGTGGGTTTGAACCAACAGCCTTCTGGTGAGCAGTCAAGTGCCTTAGCCACCATGCTACCAGAGCTCCCTTTAGAGAGGGTGTAACTGAATTGAATTGTTTGGGAAGGAAGAGGAGGATGATTTTACACTGTAGGGTTTGTGTGGAAATCCCCTTCAGGGGTAATCAGTCCAGGTGTCCAGCCCATTTGTTAACCATTTCCAAATGACTCAAAGGACATAGGGAGTGCCTGGACATGCTCCAGCACTATTTCTACAACTTAATTTCTGTTTGCATTGGAAACCACATTCCTGAATTCTTGGGGGTAGGCTCTGGCTTATTATGGGTCATTGGCTTTAAGAGAGAACCCCAAACTGCTCATCTAAGCCAACAGTTATAACCATCTCCTTTTGAGGTTTCTCAGGGACAGCTGTCTTTCTGTGTAAGTTGCCTTCTACCTAGAACCCTTGAGAAACAGCCTTGTTCATTCAAAGAACC